GGCAATTTATTAGATGCTAAACGATGGATAACACTGGCAGAACTACCAGGGTCACAGCGGTTACATGTGCGATTGGGCCCTGGCAAGTATCAACATTGGCCTGCTGCATGCTGGGAGCTGTAGTCCGAGGAGGCAATGTCAGTGCCTCAGTGGTTACCGGGTCCAGAAGGAGACAAGAGGGTCTGGCCCAGTAGCCAATGAGGTGCCGACATTGCCTCCTGGAGCTACAGCTGCCAGCATGCAGCCTACCAACGCTCCGCAGCTCCCTCCCACTGTGGTTGATACTCATACCACTGTGTTCTGTCCCCTGAGTGTCAGCTCACTCCATGTACCCTGAGAGAGTGTGGGAAGAGACGTGCCTCTGCTTTCCCTCTCCTTCTTCTTACCATAATTCTTCAAAATACCTGCGGATGGAAGAATAGCTCCCACTGAACTTCCTTATTCACTTCAGCTATAGGTCAGTGCTGTTATTTCTATCCTAGCAACAAAATTGGTAAGAAAAACTCTACTATAAAATCACCTATGTGACACCAGCCTAAAGGGTGACCTTTCACTTCTTCAGGGAAAGGGGTACCCTTATTTTTGAATGACTGTACAATATGTAGCATATTAAAATATTACAATTTATGAGCCTTAAGCTGGCCATACACTAATCTTTTGCTCTTGTTCACCCCACCAGGCTATTGCATTCTGACAGTGGCAAGTGTGCCACTGTTAGAATACCCAAACAAAGCCTGTAGCTAATTGACTGAGAATGAAAATAATCCACTTTTTTGTTGATTGGAGTCCCAACGACGCCACCCCTGCTCGAATTTCAGGACTCGGACAAAATTCATGCAGTGTATGGCCAGCTTTACTTTACAGCTATTGTACCCTCCTTTGTCTTATTGCTGCTCTTAGGCTCCATTCACATAGGAGCGGTTGTCCGTGCATATTATTGCGGCCGAATATGCGCGGAACCGCTCTAAACATGAAAAACAATGCATTTAATGTGCATTGTTCAGACTATTGTGGGGACCGTACGGTACAAAACCACGTGTCCCGCAAAATAGTCCAAGCGCAATTTCAGGGTTGAATTGCGCAAGTTCACGGCTATAGTAATAGCTGCAAATTAGCGCAATCCATGCAGTTGTAAAGATTTTAGCATTTTCGTGGAAAACGCAAATGCTATATGTGAATCGAGGCTTATATCTAACTGTGCTGAGGTTGGTGGAAGTGACTGTCATCACCATACACACCAGCTAGGGCCGAGCTGTAGCTAGCTCCTTTTGCGCCTGAGGCAGGAACAGAAAATTGTGCTCCCCCAAGAGGCGTGTGACGTCACGCGCCCCGCCTCCAGGGTTGCGGTGCGCATGTGCAGAACGCACCATTGGCCAAATACATTTTTTTTCCGATTAATCGAACATGAAAATTTTAATCATTACCAGCCCTATTATAAAAGCATAAGTCAGCATTGTGACTACTGATTGATTATGCTTGTTGTAGAAGTGATTGGATTAGAGGTAAGGTCAAAAGGTTAGGGATTAGGGGGATCAGGATTTGGTGCACTTTAGCCACCTTGTCTGATTCACAGTGCTTTTGCTTCTCTAAGGGTGGTGCTAAATAGCTTGATAATAAAAAGCAATATTCCCAATTCTGAGTCTTGCTGTCTGTGACCCCCCTGCGGTGATAACCGGCACCTCTAGTGATCACATGAACTTGTTACTGCCTAGGGAGATGGTTATATGAAATTACAATGCTTCACAACAACCTATACAGTATAGCGAAATGTGTTTTGCATGGTTTCCCTGATTAGCTGTAAATGGTTTGTTTCCTGCATATGGTTAAATGAACATGCACAGTGAACGACACCAATATTACAAAACATGTCAATCTCTGCAGGAACCACACGCTCTCTTGTGGCTTCTTTTGGCTTCTTGCACATCAAAGGTAAAGAGAGAATATTAATGTAGCTGGAATGAAAAAACTGACCTCTAGTGATAATATATTCACTACGATTAAGGTTTAGAACTGTGCAGAATCAAAAGACATCCTCTCATGTTTGAACTTATCAAAGCACCCTACTACCTAAAATACACATTATACTACACCACAAGGCTTAAGCATTCAGGAACGTACTGCTTTTTCCTTAAGGGAGGATGAATTCCAGCTTATGAGCTGCTGTTTGCAATCAATCTGAATGTGCCAGAATTCGCACCATACTGGCAGCAGGTACAGTATATACTGCATGTTATAAGAATAATTTTGACTTAAATTGCTAAATGGCTTGTCTATAAAAATTATCACTTTAGCATTTTTTTTACTGATTTAGGTTTTGAAAAGTAATACTGAAAGTGATATTAAAGTCAAACGTTTTTTAAGCCTTTTAAAATACTGACTAAATAATTTACAATGGATGCTGATCCTTGATGTTTACAAGATTTCGTTTCCTGCAGAATCAGCTGGTCCCCTGAGCACTGACCCTGACATCCTGTTTTAGGGTGGCTCCTTTCCCTTGCAGGGTACTATGGAGCCACCCCTGTGTGTGCTAGTAAGCTCAGTGTTTCTCCACAAGCATACAGACACAGCAAGGCAAACTGCTCCCTTGTTCCCTGTTTCTCCTTTTCACCTTCCTCCCTTCTCTCTTCTCCTTCCTCCCTTATTCAAACAAGTAGATGGACGGCTCACTCACGCAGCTGGGTGGATCCAGACATAATTGTTGGAATCCGTTTAAGGCCCTGTTCACATTGAGCGATTCGCAAATAGCTTGTTTGTCGCGCGATTTGCATTTTGCGTGATATCACGCGATTAGTCGCGCAATATCGTGCAAATGCTTGCATCAAAAACCATTGAATCGCGGCAAAATCCGCTCCAAAAAGGGTCCTGCTGTAGCGACACACGACCCGCGACAGCAGGACCCTTTGCCCCATTGCAAAGCATTGAAGAGCGATATCGCGCGGTAAATAGCCGCGATATAGCGGGAATTACCGCGTGATAAATTGCTCAATGTGAACGGGGCCTAAGCTGCGGTGCCTCAGTATACCGCGAGCTGTAGCTCCGGGTATACTGAGCTTTGGGTGACGAGAGGACGCTAGTTTGTGTCCTCCCGTTACCATTAGGAGAACTATGGGGAAAAGCCCTGACCCCATAGTTCTCCTTTAAACACTACTCTAAGGCAATTTTATAGTAAGACAAACTACTAAAATGAATGCTGACATGAAACAAAGCACCTAGAGGTGATCAGGCAAAGGGAAGGGGCCCAGGCCTGACTTCAGACTTATGTCGTTTTGGTAGATTATGGAAGACAGGTACATACAATAATGGACTCCAGTTGCACATATGGGGCTAATAAGGACCCTCTGAACATCAGATGTAGGGTCTTTAAGGCGTTGATAAGTACATGTTGTAAGAACAAGCTGCTCAAAAAAGTTCCTACACCAGATTTTCAAAATATTTTTTTTTCATTTATCATAAATTCATACTTATTGATAGATAACTCCGATAGGGTCCACTAGAATTATGTTCTATACTCCTATCCTGACTATTTGGCAATCATACACCTATGGATCAGACAAGGATATGGGCCTAAGCTTGACTTTAAGTTTATGTTGTTTCAGTAGATTATGGAAAACAGGTATGTACAATAATGGACAGTCATTCATATAAGGCTATTAATGTATGTACAATAAGGGACAGCCGTTCATTTAAGGCTAATGAGGTTTGTACAATAAGGGACAGCCGTTCATATAAGGCTATTAATGTATGTACAATAAGGGACAACCGTTCATATAAGGCTAATAAGGTATGTACAATAAGGGACAGCCGTTCATATAAGGCTAATAAGGTATGTAAAATAAGGGACAGCCGTTCATATAAGGCTATTAATGTATGTACAATAAGGGACAGCCGTTCATATAAGGCTAATAAGGTATGTACAATAAGGGACAGCCGTTCATATAAGGCTAATAAGGTATGTACAATAAGGGACAGCCGTTCATATAAGGCTAATAAGGTATGTACAATAAGGGACAGCCGTTCATATAAGGCTAATAAGGTATGTAAAATAAGGGACAGCCGTTCATATAAGGCTATTAATGTATGTACAATAAGGGACAGCTGTTCATATAAGGCTAATAAGGTATGTACAATAAGGGACAGCCGTTCATATAAGGCTATTAATGTATGTACAATAAGGGACAGTCGTTCATATAAGGTTAATAAGGTATGTACAATAAGGGACAGCCGTTCATATAAGGTTAATAAGGTATGTACAGCGAGGAGAATGGTCCGCCGAAGTTACAGGACTCGCTCCGCCCATTTGTTTACATGCCATTTGAGGACAGTGAGCTGTCAAATGGCATGTAAACAACTGGGCAAAGCGCGTTGTGACATCACTACTCACTCCGCCCATTTGTTTACATTCGTCCCAGACCTGTCATTTTGCGGCGGGTGTTCAGCGGCAGCGGACAGGTTGGCGAACGGCGGAACTTTTTTAAATTTGGGCAAATCGGCGGGCGTTGTTCAGTGTGATTGATGAGGATCTACATCACTAGGCAACGTGATTGACCTTTGAATTGCATCGTTGGACAATTGTTTGGGGATTTTTTTTTATAATACAGGACTTGTCAAAAACTGACTTGTGTTTTTTTGTACAAATAAAGAACTTTTTCAATGTGTGGTGTTTTTATTTACTATTTTGTGTACTCTTGGGTGAATGGGTAGTCGATCAGTCACTTAATAAACACTGGGCCCCTTTTACTAACTACTGGTGACTCAGAATGTATACCTACCTATCAATGAAACCAGACTGTTCTAGCTATAGCAGTTATGATAACATATAAGAAGAATCACATGCCAGAGACACATTTATTCTCATTATCTACATGATTTGCAACTACCCAAGAGGCAGAAACAAGAAAACATCAACTGAGATTGATGGACTTGTGTCATTTATCAGTTTAGCTATGTAAATAATTCCCCCTGTCTACAATATACACTTGTGTCATATGACAGTATCATACCTGCTTGCTCCATTTTCAATTCTTTCTATATCTTCATCAATGGTTCTTACAGACAATCTATGCAGCAGTGGGTAGGATGTTTGTGTTTTGACAATTGCAGACATTTTGAATCACAGCCAAATGGTCTCCACAGTGTAGGTAATGGCTGTAAAAAGATTTTTATAACAATTAGTTAAAACTGTTTCTATGATGATACATATACAGTATATATACACCATGCAATCAATATAAAAGATGATATTCTTTGCAGACCATGTGAAACTCTTGGTAAAGCTTGTCAATATAGTGCAATAACTCTTATTTGGTGACAAGACTTTTATTCTGTTTTCATATTTGAATGCTGCACTTTATTCTTTAGTTAATCTCATGATACTGGGATAGTACTTAGTTAATTCCCCAATTCAAAGAAAGGATTGATGTGTATTTCGTAGTTTTGAACAGAGTGGTGAGGGCTAGAAGAACCCCTGCCAGTTTTTCATTGCTGTCCATGTGTGAAGGAATATGGATCAAGAAAATGTCCTTTTCTATGTTTTAAATTGTTTTGAATTAGTTTAATTTGCTTCCTAGCTTTGTGACTTTCCTTACTCAGCTTTTAGCGTTGCTATGCGTAACCAAGAGAGATATCCTGTATTCGGGAGCGCGCCAAGGACACATCGGAGGAATGCCGAGGGAGGACGCTACAAGCAGAAGATATCTTTGACTAACCAATTAGCGAGAGACACGAGACTTTAACTAACAGTTCCTCTAGTTTGCCCAATAGTATAATAACAGAGGTGGGCATATGTGTGACGAACACTCTCCTGTTATCTGTGTATAAAGGAGAGAGACCGCCCTGAATAAAGCAGAATCTTCATAGACCGTTAATTCTGAGTTTGTGATTTCTCCGGTGCACCGTACACAAAATAATTAGAAACAGCAGCAGACATCTTGTGTGAACCCAGTTGTGGTTCAGATCCATTTCAGCTGGCGCCCAAAATCGTGGGGCCCTGGGTTTCGATCCAAGAGCAGCCGTGACATGCGGGCAGTTGGCTGAGGGCCAGACAGACCAAGAGAGGGCTTGCGCAACCCTGAGAGTACGGTAGGCATATTTCAATATCTTACCACTGTACTACTTGTTTCTGTCTGATCCACTGTCACGTCCACTTGGCTGTTCGAGGACGGCAAAAGGCAGGTAAACTTTTCCTTGCCCAGGGCTGTTTTGCTAAGAACCTGCATAAGAGATTTCTGCTGGCTGTGTGTGTGTTTTGTTTGTGTGTTTTGCGGCTCTGGGCCGAGGCTGAGCCGAGCTAAATGAATTAGCTACAGGATGCTGATCCTGGCTTGAGGTGTTTGCGACTCTGGACCAAGGCTGAGCCGAGCTAAATGAATTAGCTACAGGGGGTCGTCCTCATCTCGGTGAGCTGTATGCCCCGAGAAAGAGGAACCCTGTAGTGGGCGTCTACGGACGGAAATCCGGGGTGACGTATCGGTCCCCCCGAGGCGAGCTTAGCCAGTCAGCCAGTGGTTCAGTTCCGCGCTGTTACCTTTCCTAGCTTTGTGACTTTCCTTACTCAGCTTTTAGCGTTGCTATGCGTAACCAAGAGAGATATCCTGTATTCGGGAGCGCGCCAAGGACACATCGGAGGAATGCCGAGGGAGGACGCTACAAGCAGAAGATATCTTTGACTAACCAATTAGCGAGAGACACGAGACTTTAACTAACAGTTCCTCTAGTTTGCCCAATAGTATAATAACAGAGGTGGGCATATGTGTGACGAGCACTCTCCTGTTATCTGTGTATAAAGGAGAGAGACCGCCCTGAATAAAGCAGAATCTTCATAGACCGTTAATTCTGAGTTTGTGATTTCTCCGGTGCACCGTACACAAAATAATTAGAAACAGCAGCAGACATCTTGTGTGAACCCAGTTGTGGTTCAGATCCATTTCACATGTCCCTGCTAAGGAGATACACCCGCTCTATTTGTCCTGGTGACCGACAGTGATGAAATCCATAATTTTGACTTGCGACCAAAACAAGAATAGATGGGAAATCTTGGAATGGGGACATCTGTTCCAGAGACAATGGGATTTTTCTCATTTTGGAGAGATTTCCCCTCACTTTCTGTTGTGTCTACAGGACAGGAAATAGAGGGAAATTTCTCAAACGGGACACAAATAGCAAAAACCTGATGAGGGTTTTTAAAAACTCTTTATTTATGGAGGGAAAGGGGTACAATCACACATGAAGAACATTAGTATACAATTTGAGCAAGATGATAGCACAATCCAAACTTAAGAAGCAAAAATAACATGTGTATAACAACATATGAAATGAAACCATCCTCTCTATAAGACCATAGTAAGCACGCACATAGTTCAATGCTATGCGTGGGCACTCCCCCTACTCATTTTTTACGAATTTGCAATAAATGAGGTTAGAGAATGTGAAGAAAATACAGATGAAGATGAGAAAGAAGAATCAACAATGAAAAGAATAGAGAGGACAGAAGTCAGGCGGAAGATTAGAGAATAAAGAAGAAGGGGAAAGGGAGGGAAAAGGGAGAGGAGTCTGTGACAGGGAACTACCCCACTGCTCGCCTACGAAATCGTACAATCCGGAGCCAAGTAACCTGATGAGATTTTAATCATATGCAAAGCAAAAAAAGATTTTGCTTGGGATATACTTTAACTCTACCATTTTAAATTGGTCTCAACAACTGGATGAACTCATTAATTCATTGCAGCATGGGGAAAACTCTGACGTTCCCCTGTTCTGGCACTCTTAAATGAATGTCAATGAGATTCATTATGTTCTGTGCAGAATAAAGGAACTCTTGATCCCCAAACTGTAATCCTGAATGAGAGGAATATTATTAACGCATACTATTTAAGAGGATTCATTGTTTAACTTTTTATTTCACTTATAGAATGTAAGTGGGGAAATCATACTTTATTTCTAATAAAGCAATTTTAATTTAATGTTGCACTTCTCAAACAGGTAAAGGGTGCTTTAAACTTTACCAGTTTATAGGGATTAGCACCACTGTGCAAGTATGTTCCACCTAAAGCCCAGTACTGCACCTCCTTCTGGGTAGTAGAGATGCAGAGGTGCCAAGGCACTTTCAGTCCCAGGCTGGTATTTTTGAACAGGAAGACACCTTTTTTGTGTCCTTTCCACCGACCTGATGCTGGTGGCATGCAGACTCCTATTAAAACAGCAGAGGATCTGCACACTTGTTTGCCTTCTTCTATCTATGATACTAGCTCATATGCTGGTATCATATAGACCCTGCTGGACCCTGCTGGAATTGCTTGGGAGAGATCAGGACAAGCGTGTCTTGATTTAAAATGTAAAATAAAGCGTCTAGCACTACTTCTGTAACAAACAAATGAATATAACATCATGAATTAGGTGATAACATTGAAAGGTAATACATTTAGTTGCTGATTAAGCTATTATTGCCTTATATATTACCTCTTGAATTAAGTGATGTTATCCAGCACTATAGCAGGTACCGTCATGGATTTTATGCAATGCATCAAGCCTTTAATCTCCTATTTCTACACTAAACAATTATTTCTAGTGTGAAGTTATTTTACAATAACAAAACATGGAACATGGAATGAAAATGTACAAACTCAATAATGTTCAATTCATCTGCTGTCACACCTTTGTCAGTTAGTTAATGTTCTCAGCCCGTCATGGTGAGTTTACCAGATTTATATGGCGCATTCCTGGACTACAAACAGCCAGGAGACTGGAGGCAGCTGTGTTCAACCAGAAGCTTACATAGTTCATTACATAAATTACAAGCTGATTTATATAAAAGAGTTTTCAAGGATAAATAGACAAAGATTTCAGAAACCCAATAGCATATATATATATAAATACATTTACACAGTTATTGTGAATGTTGTGCTGGCTGAATCTGTGTGCACTGAAATACTGCACAATAAACAGCAAAACACATTTTACAGTACAGTGGAGAAGTGATAGGATCACTGTCAGGAATGAATTGCTGTCTTTGTCGCTATTAGGGAGATTTCCCTTTACCTCCTATGCCAGTGACACCTAGGGGACGATTTATAAATCTTCAGCCCAGACATACGCTGGGCGAATGCCGTTCACATGATACCGCTACTAGATGGAGCCAAGGAGCATTAGAAATTCCTAGTCAATCGAATGGCATTCACCCAAGTATGGCTGGGAGAACAATTTATAAATCAGCTCTTAAGTGTACCATGGTGTGGTTGGATGTCACAAAACAGGAAGTGAAGGGAAATCATTTCAATAGCAATAGAAGCCTGACAGAACAGGCGCCTGTTTACAGCACCAGCTTCAGTTAAAAAAATTTCAAGCTGCAGGGGAGGTGGGAGGGTCACATGAAATGCCCTGTCGGGCCGGATTTGGCCCGCGGGCCTTGTGTGTCTGCAGTTGAAAGCATTTCTAACAAACTCCAGAAATGTTATACCATATAAATACCATGTCATCTACAGCTTCCTGGATCTTATACTACAGCAAAATATAGCAAACATTTTATTAGAAGGCAAAGTTATCAAGTGGTGAATGGGACATTCACCAAACATTCACTGCATGTCAGCCAATGAGTGTCATTAAAAACATTAAGATACAAATGTGAATGTTTGGTGAACGTCAATTTACTGCCTCAAAAAAAACCGGTAGACTTTTTTAAAAACAAAATCATGGCCTATTCCCACGACTTGCATTGCTGCAATGTGTGCAAAGTACATTATGTTCATCGGTGCGCTATTCATCGCAAATGACACCCCAATGCACCTCCAAAACGCATGTACGTTGTAATGCCGTGTCCTATGCATTGACTGTGAGGAAAAGGAAAGCGATTTATTTGGGCAGTGAGGTGTGTTACAGCCCACTCATGCTGAATTGATAGCCTACTGCTTGGCAGTAGAACAAAAACAGGTCCACTGCAGTGCACAGTGTTGTGGTGCGGATGGGCTCCAACTGTTCAGTGGTTCTTCAAAAGACTCCATCACTGGAAGGAAGGGGATGAAGTGCTGCGCCTTGAGGAACCTCCCAAACCTTCCTTTCATCACTGAAAGCAGACTATAATGCCACAATAACTAAAACTGCCTAAACATATTATTAATCACCAAACACATATTGATATACAAGTAACAACCAGT